GACTGTGTGTAGCCATCCCCCTCCCACACTGTGCACCAGCACGCCGACTGGATGGAAGCCACTAGGCACGGGGTTTTGTGCAGCTAGTCCCCAAGCGGGCATGTAATTTGCCCACGTGGGTTCTACATGCAGAGGACATCCCACCTGCCCACCCAAGGGAACCTTGCCGTAGAGGCACCTACTTAGGAGTTAAGTTTCATTTTTTAAATTTTATTTATTTATTTATTTTGAGATGAAGTCTCACTCTATCGCCCAGGCTGGAGTGCAGTGGCATGATCTCGGCTCACTGCAATGTCCGCCTTCCGAGTTCAAGTGATTCTCCTGCCTCAGCCTCCCGAGTAGCTGGGATTACAGGTGCATACCATCACGCCCTGCTAATTTTTGTATTTTTAGTGGAGACGGGGTTTCACCTTGTTGGCCAGGCTGGTCTTGAACTCCTGACCTCAAATGATCTGCCCATCTTGGCTTACAAGTGCTGAGATTACGGGTGTGAGCCACTGCACCTGGCCTAATTTAAGTTTCATTGGGACACAAAAATGTTTCACCTCCCACAACCGTCTTTGGGTTATTTCCCTCTAGGAATAGGATTTTTTTTTTTTTTCAACTTTCTTGTACAGCTGTATCACCTGGCAGCCTGAATGGGATTGAAGGCTGTTCTGTTTTGCCGCTGACTTGAGTCAGATGACTTGTCAGTATCTGTTTTTGTGTTTCCTTCCTTCTGGTTTGTTGTGAGAAGTGTAGACCCTGAGATGTGTTCTTAGATCTAGGCTGAAGAGTTCTCTTACTGTGCTCTGAAGTTGTCACTTTCCAAATTATTTTGCAGCTTTAACATACCTCGTGCCAAAAGAGAGCTGGCTCAGCTGAACAAATGCACCTCCCCACAGCAGAAGCTTCTCTGCTTGCGAAAGGTGGTGCAGCTCATCACACAGTCTCCAAGCCAGAGAGGTTTGTGCTTGGGAAGGGTCCTGGCTAAGGGGGAGATGCTACATCCAGATGAAAAAGCAAAGAGTGATGCTATCGTAAGGGATTTTTATGGGGCTGGGCATGGTGGCTCACCTCTGTAACCCCAGTGCTTTGGGAGGCCAAGGTGGGAGGATCACTTGAGGCCAGGAATTGGAGGCTGCAGTGAGCTGTGATCACACCAGTGTACTCCAGTCTGGGTGACAGAGCGAGACCCCTTCTCAAAAAAAAAAAAAGGAAAAGTCAATTAGGAAGAGACATGAGATATAGCTATATGTGTAGATAAGGGATGATCCTGAGTATATCGAATGAAATAAAGAGGAATGCATATGGTAGACTTCCAGCCAACAGCATCAAAGAAAGGGGGACAGCTGTGTAGCCATGATGTGATGGTGAGCTCATAGCTGTCCTGGACAGATGTGCAGGAAGCAGCAGGAGGAGCCTCTGGGAAAAGAGACTGGCTGGCGGAGATGGGAGGAACATTCACAGTTTACTCTTTTGTATTGTTTGAATTTTTAAACGTGAATGAATTACTTAAAATTTCAAAATGAAAAAAAAGTGAAACTCCACATGGGCAGTGGACTCCATGTCTATAAAGTGGAAGTGACCTTAGGAAGGGCCTTAGTGACTTTAGGAAGAAAGAGGCTTTTGGTGATGGCTCTGGACTCGTCTTCATTTTGTATCACTGTAGCCACCTCCCTGGGCTCTTTCACTGTCCAGGAGGGTGGCAAGGCATGGTCTGCTTGGAGTTAACATCTCCTTTTTTTTTTTTTTTTTTGGTTTTAAGAGACAGAGTCTCACTCTGTCACCCAGGCTGGGTGCATTTGTAGGTCACTGTGCTGCATCCTTGAACTCCTGAGCTCAAGTGATCCTCTTGCCTCAGCCTCCCAAGTACCTCGGATTGCAGGCATGCGCCACCACACTTGGCTAGTTTTCATATTTTTTGTAGAGGTGGGGGTCTTGCTATATTGCCCAGGCTGGTCTCGGACTCCTGGCCTCAAGCAATTCTCCCATCTTGGCCTCCCAAAGCTCTGGGATTATAGGCGCATGCCGCCATATCTGGCCTGAGTTATTAATATCTTGTTTTGGTCATGTTCTGAAAATGCTGGGCATTCTTTTCCCTCTGGACCTGACATCTGATCAGGACACTGTAAAGGAGCTTGTGCAATGACGTTTCTTCCCCGATGTGTGATCTCCTTGATACGTGGTTTCGCAAGGTGTGCGGTGGTAGGGAGTTGATACGCTTGTCAGTCCATTTGAATCTCATGATGGCATTGAATGTGTGTTTCCCTTTTGCAGTGAACCTGGAGACCATGTGTGCTGATGATCTGCTATCAGTCCTGTTATACTTGCTTGTGAAAACGGAGATCCCTAATTGGTAACATTTTCTGTTAAGATGCTCTTTTAAAAATGGCAGCGCTTGACCGGGCACGGTGGCTCACGCCTGTAATCCCAGCACTTTGGGAGGCTGAGGCAGGTGGATCACGAGGTCAGGAGATCGAGACCATCCTGGCTAAC